GACTTTCTCACTGGCAAACAGAAAACAACACTGGCACGCATGACAAATCAAGCTAGTAAAATAATTGGTTTGACACAAACTCYACTGTCCCATCTGTATGAGCATACTGTGATTAGGAAAGCCATCCTAAACACAGAGGAACCCTCATATCCTCTACATCACTCTTTCAGTCTCCTTCCATCAGGTAGGGGATACAAAGTACCGCTGGCTAAGATGGCAATGTTCAAAAGGTCTTTTATTCCAACTGCCGTTTCAGCCCTCAACAAGAGAGGCATTTTTAAATTTTGTTTATGATTTTTATCTTGTGTAAATGTTTCTTTGAAATGTTGTTATATGTGTGTATGGAGCCCTGTCGAAGACAAATTTCTGTAACCTTTTGTGTCAGACAAATAGCTTCTATTCTATTCTATTCTATTCTATTATATTATATTCTATTCTAAAAATATTTGGGACCAGATCCAGTTGGGTTTTTGATGAAACAGTTGTTTTGTCGGCTGTGAGTTGTTGCCCTCTTTGGATGCTATTTTAGCGTCTCAATGATGTCACAAGTGTAAGCAATGGGTGGGATAGGCAGTGAACACTTCAGTTATCATATGTAACTATAAAACTGCTACCAACAGCCGAGGCACACTCTTTCCATCAAAGCTGCACATTTTGACATAGTTGTCCAGGTTTTAATACACAGTTGTGTCACAAGTTTTGATGAAGGGTATTTCCGTTTTTTTTTTTTTTAATTAGCAGCATTAATATGAGGAAATGATCTATTTTTATCCAAACTTCACCTGCCCTTACCTTTGCAGCTCAGGAATGATCAGATTATAACAATTAGGCCTTGCAGACACGAGCTGACAATCAACCAAACATTTAATTTTCATACCTTTTAGTTTTGTCACATTAACTAAGACATCTCTGTAGATTGATTTTATAGGATTTGGACTAAGAAACCTGGAGGTTTCCCTGTTTCCTCCTTTTTATATGTGTAAATGTGTGTTTTTATATATTTCTAGGCAAGGTCTAAGACAGTTCATTATTCCCTGAAGCACCACAAAGCTGGATAAATCTGGAGTTGTCGTCACAGTTTAATACTGAAAGCTGGGTCTGAGTCTCCGTGTTTTTGACGTGTGGAAATTCAAAAAAGGGGCACGAACAGACACGATTATTCCTGCCAACAAGCTCCCCGAGCCTCCGCTGCTCAGCCGTGTTGACTCAGACTTTGCAGAGTCACACTTGGAAAGACCTGAGTCTATTCCATTTCAGGAATTTCCTGATCCCTGCAGGTCTCCTGCTGAAAAAAAAAAATCATCTGCAGGCCACGGCACTAAGCAATAGTCCAACCCCGCCACCCCCACTCCTCACAGCTGGCCTGCTAATGGGAAGTTCCAGGTTAATAACTAAACTGAGGACGTATGCTGGAAGAGTCAGCGGGGCAGGGCCCATCTACGTCTTGACTGAGTAAGACTGTGGACTCAGCATTGTTCTCTAACTCAGAGCACTTCTTTTCTCCAAAATGTTACAATATCTTCCATCAGCATCACTAAATGATTCATTTATAAACCTGACAGATGACAGACAAGCACGTGGAATGTCTATATTTTGTTTACATTTACAAAATATCTATACTTCAAACCACAAGTTGCATGAGTCATGCCAGCTCTGTCACATCTGTAGTTTCACTAGAAACAAGTGTGGCTTTGAATAGACTTCCGGCCCCACAGTTACACCTTGATTTTTATTTTTTTCAGCAGCCAGTTCTGGCTTGTTGGCTTGACGTCAGAGGAGTGGTTGTTTGGGAGTGCTATTACTCACTCTGTTTAAGTTACATTCTTGTACAACACGTACCAGTTCATCCCTCTTATTTCCCAAACAGGAAGTTCTAGCCAAGACAGTTGCCAAATCTTTTGCACTCCTCCCCGTGTAGTAAAGTTTCTTCAAACTATCAGTGTGTGTGTGTGTGTGTGTGAATTCTGGACATGTTCATCCTTTTTTAAAAGCTTTTTTCACAGTCTCTGTTAGTCTTTACAGTAAAATGAACACACAGTCACTCAAACTGCGCTGTGGAACAGTTTGAACCTCACTTGTGTTTGTGTAACACAAAGTGTTTATCAGTAATGAGTCCTTTGAGAGTGGCCAGAATAAATATTGGAATTTAAAGTCCAAGTTTTAAAGGCAAAGGACGTTTTCATGTAAAAACAAAAGCAACATTAATAGCTGCAGGGAAATCTTAAAAGAAAAAAATGATATGAGTGGAAACAAACTGTGAATGCTCATGTAGCCTAAAAATGACATGATTGATGCGTAAACTCCAGTACAAAAGAGAAAACAGGAAGCAGTGGGCTTCAACAGCATACTGAAAGCTCATTTTGAAGAAGAAGACGTTGGTGTTGTGGTCTGCAGAGACACCTGGTGGTGGTTTGAACACATGACATCCTGAACTCCACCTGTGACAGACACTAACAGATTTATAATCAACACACAACATTTAAAGACATATTTAAAACCTCTCAAAAGGATTTTTAAAAGACTGATCTCATGGCTGTGAAATGGCTCTGAACTAGTTCAGAAATTATTTATTTTGGTGTCAACTTTAGAAAACTAACCTTTCTCACAATAACCTGTTCCCCACAGAGCTCTTCTATATTTATCCTGAGCTGTCAAAAGGTGAAGGGTCAGGTTCGTGTTTTTGGGGTTTGGACGTTACCAAAACATCTCCTGAACCACAGGATTCATTTTAACCAGACTTGCAGAAAATAATCATGCAGTGGTGTACACAAAAACAGATATTTCTGGCATGTTTTGTTGAAGTTATCACATTACCATTTGAACTAGAACCAATCTCCCAGTTCTGATGAAAAACTTAATACTTCTCTGTGATGATGTTCAATATGATGAGCATCTTGACATAGTTATATATACTCTATAACAGGGTTGGTGTGTGTTATAATCTGAGATGTGTTGAGATTTCCTAAGTATTCTCTCTTGGTAGTGATTTTTCCTAGTTAGCAGAGGTTTATAGTAAATAAGTACATTTACTTTGTTTACTTTAATTAGTTTTTTTAAGTATTTGTAATTTTACCAATTGTTTTTTTTAAACGGCTACTTTTACTTCATTACATTTTAAAGGTAAAAATTATACTTTTACTTTATTTTAACGTGTAACACCTAGTTACTTTTTACAAAATTAAATTTGTTTGAACTCATCATGAAAGATGTTTATCCACTCTGAAAGTGTTGAATTTATTCAACAGTCATGTGAACTGGCTCCACTAAGGTTAGTTTAATAAATTGGGCAAATATATGTATGTTGCTCAATTTACTCAACTTGGTTTAGCAGAGCCAATGCGGTTCAGTAAATTCAACAATTTATTTCTTAAAGTGTTGTTAAAGTACTTTTACTTTCTCAGTTTTTGTGAGTAGTTTTCTCACCAGTGACATTTTTTTACCAGTCATTTTCTGTTCATGTAATTTTACTTTTGGTTATTTTTTTTAATTACTAGACCTGTGCTAGTTGGTTGTGAAGAATGTCAAAACTGAGATGATTTGAATCTTGGATTGCACACAGGTGGATCTTTTTAGCCAATTACTTGCCTTCTGAAGGTAAATATGCATTGAATACATTTGCACCATGTTGGTTTAGGTTTTTTTTTTAACAACTCTTTAAAACGAGTTGTTTTAACCAATTTATCATTAATTTGAAGCTCTTTGTCAATTTATAATTTATATTCAAACTAAAATGCATTTAAATTCCAGGGGTTGCAAAAACAGAAAACCAAAAGCATTTTTTCAAGCCACTGTACTAAATAAACTGAAAGGCAGATGCTGTAAAACMGAGTTGATTTAAGTTAAAGATCACAACAAAAGTTAAAAATGTACCCTGAAACAGTGGAGGAATAAAAGCTGCCAGTTTCTGTGAATCTGATTAGTGATTAACAATAGAACAGCTTCTTCTGCTGTTCAGGGTTAAAGGCCTTTTTCTATTCACCACTCACCTGATAAGACACAAACACAATGTAAATGACCCGGATTAACAAAGTCCATAACTTGTTTGATTACCAGACACATATTCTAAAAAATCTGAACAAAACAGTGCAGGTTGCTTTTTTCTTCCTTTATTTAAAAATGAAAAACAACAAATGTAAATAAAAAAATACATGTTTTTAAGCTCAGCGTACAAAACAGGAAAACATGGTGCAATTGCTGCACAGGTGCTGAGATTTAATCCATTACTAAAGCAGAAAAAAGAACTCAGCATACTTAAACCTGATTGGAAATATATATATTTATATATAAATTTAATAAGGATATGCCCTCCTCCCGGAGAGGACATTTATACATTCTAAAGAAAAGGTACAGCTGTCGGACAAAGGGGTGAACTTTGCCGTATCCCAACAGTAAACCAGTGGTAGCAGCTTAACTAATCTCTGTTTAGGGTTAAAACTGTTGATTCACAAATGCAGCATGCTTTAAAAAAAAACTCACACACACATACACACACACACACAACACCCCATCAATCATACAAAAGAATACTGCCAGCTCAGGGTCACACCATGATACAATGAATAATTAGTACAGTGTATCGTCATCATCCCTGTGCTGGTGTTTGATTTTTGGTTTGTTCGGTATCCCTGGTCCCAAACTCAAACTCAGAGCCTGATCATGTAAAAAGACGCCACATCACAGACTTTCTTCCATTTTTTTAAGAATTATTGCTAGCAAATAGCATTGGTTGTGAGCTACTTTGTGTCCCGGACTGTTTTGCTGGCATTCAGGTGGACTGAACACCTTTGACTTGCTTTACGATGTGTATCAGCTGCCTTTAGGTTAAGTTACACGTGTTCCTCTACTGTAACCGAGTACAGTAACTAACGCCAGGCGTTCTAACCAGTCTCAAGAATTTGAGCAACTGGAGATGGCGGCACGCGTCGATGTCGAGTTATCAGGGTGAGAATACACAGAGGGACTCCAAAGAGGCGCTCCGTCTACSTCTCACGGTTCTGGAAAAGCTGCGTCTATATTTCTCTCTGAGCAGACATGAGTAGATATGCAAATGTACAGATACACAAAACACACACTCAACCAGCCAAACACAGGCGACTAATGTGGACAGACAACTGCCCACATCTGCATGCAATCAACGGGCACATTATCATTTTCTTTTCTTTTTTTTTTAACTCTCCCTTTTAATTGTTGGGTTTTATTTTGACCCATAATAAAAGATAATCAAAATTCTCCATGACTGGCATGTTTTCAGACTGGCTTCCTAAAAAAACAAAATCAGTCAAACCATTTATGTAATCAAATAGAAAAATAAGTCAAATCCTACTGGACACATGAGCTGAGTAGGAAAAAAACAAAATAATGTAAAAACACATTCAAAACTGTCGTTTTGGTAAATAAGAAAGTAGATGCATATAAAAATGGGCAGAGGGGGCTTTCATCCTGGTTCACAGAGCAGCAGCTTTGATGCAAACTCGTTTCTTTTTGCAGGTTTGGATTGTGTGTTTTCTGTTCAGTCCATTATTCAGTCGGATGTGGCACCTGAAATACTGAAGCCCTGAGCATCCAAGATGGCAAACAGACACAATGTTTGGGTCATGATTGGCAGCCAAACACCGCTCTCTCACTGTGTTTACAAAATTAGAACTGATGAACCTAAACGTGTCTCGCTTGCAGGCTGATTCGTCAGCCAAGTCCACTTTGCAACATTGTTGATCTTAAAAAGAAAAAAAAGAGAAAGAAAAAAAAAACAGGAAGAGGAAGGACAGACATCAGTGGAAATAGGCTCGGTAACAAACGTAAGCGCTGACCGCCAGCGCTGTGCACAGGCAGACGTTAACCATGAGTGGGGACCAAGCCGAGCTCTCCTTCGGCTGCTCCTCCTCAGACAACTCCAGCTCCTCCTGCTGGGGTTTGTTCAGACCTGTGGAAATAGGACTTGGTTTTCCCACGTGCCCATCCAGCTGATCAGCCTCGTCAGGAGGCGGCTCAGGGACATCTACGATCCTCTTACGCAGCTCTGTCTCGTCTTGTGAGAACCTAAGTGAAGACAATGTCAAATTAAAGTTTGACATTGGGACAGTGTGGTTTGATACAGATCATGGCAACTAAAAATGTTAGATGATTAATAAAGTTTAATTTAAATATTTAAAACATGGACAAACATTTACATTCTAATTTAGTCATGATTAGATTTTAAATAAAAACTCCCTGTAATTTATTAAATGTCATGAGAAGATTGAGTTTGCTGGTCAAAGAACCCGGTGAAAGCTAAGCAACTTTTTAAATGGGTACTTCCTTTAAAAAAAATCATTTACAGAAGAATTTACTTAAACAGATGAGAAAACTGATCACAGACTGCTTTGCGGATCCTCACATAGTGTGGCCTCGCCAACAGGCCACAGAATGTGAGGCTCTGCGACTGTGTGTCTGATGCAGTAGTCTGCAGCACAGGGGGCACCACAGGGCACGGTCCTCTCACCCCGTCTGTTCAGTCTGTACACGTCAKACTTCAGGTACAACTCGGACCACTGCCACCTTCAGAAGTTCTCGGATGATACTGCCATCATTGGATGCGTATCAGACGGGAATGATGAGGAATACAGGGGGGTCATCAGTGACTTTGTTGGCTGGTTGTGAGACCAATGCTCTCCAAGTCAATGGCAGCAAGACGAAGGAGATGGTCATAGACCTCAGGAGGTCACCCCCTACAGCACTGGTGAACATCCAGGGAAAAGACATTGAGACAGTGGACTCTTACAAGTACCTGGGTGTTCACCTCAACAACAAGCTGGACTGGACTACGAACACAGATGTCCTGTATAAGAAGGGCCAGAGTCAACTCCACCTACTGAGGAGACTGAGGTCCTTCGGTGTCTGCAGTACTCTGTTGAAGACATTCTATGACATGGTGGTAGCATCTACCCTTTTCTATGAATTGGTCTGCTGKGGGGCTAGATGTACCGAAAGGGACAGGAACAGGATGGACAAACTGATACGGAGGTCAAGCTCTGCGCTGGGATGTCCTCTGGAGCCTGTGGTTGTGGTGGGTGAGAGGAGGATGTTGGCAAAGCTGACAGCCATCATGGACAACCCCCACCACCCTCTGCATGAAACCGTGGGGGGGCTGAGCAGCTCCTTCAGTCAGAGACTTAAACATCCTCGCTGCAGTACGGAGCGCTTCCATAGGTCATTCATTCTAACTGCAGTTAGACTGTATAACACATCATGTTGTTATCAGTCACTTGGACAGTTCACCTACACTGCCACCACTAATATACAACTTCATATACATTCATTTATTTACTGTACTAGGCATATGTACATTGTTATATATCACGAGTATAGTGCTTTTTGTTTTTCTTTAACTTATCTTTATTCTATCTCACCCTGTCCTGTTTTGAGCTGATGTAATATGCAAATTTCCCCACTGTGGGATCAATAAAGTTTTATCTTATCTTTGTCTAATGACAGCTTTTCATGCTTATATTTAAATTAATTCTAAGAAAGATCAAGTTGGCAACCTAAATCATCAGCCTGGCCCAGAAAGAAACAAAAAACTACATTTAAACAATATTTCCTATGCAGAGTACCCAACATTGCTGTCCTCATCAAGCTGTTAAAGCAACCAGCCGCCAGTCACTTTGAACGTTTACATTTCAAACAGATCAAGACAGTAACAGACTGTGTGCTCTCTGATGCCAGCGCAAATGAAGTTTTAAATTAGCTGATCGTTTGATTGTCTTGATACCTACTTAAGGCTGATAAAAGATAAAAGAAAATCTCGGCTCTTTGAGTTCAACTGTTAAGCAGATTGTGCGCAACCTGGGAGTAAATCTTGACTCAGATCTGTCACTAGATAAACACAAAAAGAACTTGGTTTCCACTTGCTATTTTCAGCTCCATAATATCTCTAAACTCTGGCCCCTGCTGTCCATTTCAGACTTGGAAATGGTAATTCATGCCTTCATTTCTACCCGCTTAGACAATTGTAAGAGCTTGTTCACCTGTCTTAACCAGAAACAGTTAAATCGTCTTCAGCTTGTCCAAAACTCGGCAGCAAGACTCCTAACCCAAACCCACATCTCCACGATCCTAGCAGATCTTCACTGGCTTCCAGTTCAATTCAGAATCTGATTCAAAATCCTGGTCCTCATCCTTCAGAGCTCTTCATGGCCAAGCCCCAGAATACATTAAGTCTCATTTCCCCTTACAACCCCAGACAAGACCTCCGCTCACAGGATCAACATCTCATTATGGTTCCCCTCACTCGCTTCAAGACCCGTGGTGACCGTGCCTTCTCCTCTGTGGTCCCCAGGCTCTGGAATGAACTCCCTTTTAATCTGCGCTCCCTTGATAACATTGTCTCTTTCAAGACTCTCCTAAAAACTCACTTTTTCTCTGAAGCGTTTAGCTAACCRTTTCACCATTACTGCCAGCCTACCTCCGTTGTAAATGTTTCGCCAATCTGTTTTCTTTATTATTGAACTTTACACCATATTTTCTCTCCCGCATTCATTATGTTTTTGTGTATTACTGTATATTTTGACCTGCATTGACCTTGTTTGATTTACAAATTAATCAAATTAATTTCTTGATTTGATGTTTCAATTTTTGTTGCTTATGTTTAATTATGTTTTTCTGTTACATTTTATTCTTTCCACCATTTTATACTGTTAATGACTGTACAGCACCTTGTGAATATATTTCTGTGAAAGGCGCTTTATAAATAAAACTTTACTTACTTACATCTTGCTTACAGCTTGTGTAATTAAAATTGCACAGCTTCTGTCCATTACCTCCCACTGACACCCTGTCTTGTACAATGCCGCCCGACTGCTCACATTGTGAGACTGCTCAGAACTTTGTGGGCGTGTTTGTTTCTGCAGGACAGCACATGATCAACTTCTGATGTCATTTCACTGACAATGGCCCACTCCTAAAAGCCTGTTATATTAGCAAGATGGACAGCTGGTCCTATTGAGGACACGAACATGCCACAAATGTCTATATTTTCTTTCCATCTCTGTGGTTAACAAGGAGAATAAACTAGATCTCACAACATGAGCCTCTCTTCCAACATCTGATATTAGGGCTGCACGATATTAGGAAAACCTGCGATGTGCAATTATAACTGTACTTAATATTGTGATGACGATATGACTTGCGATAAATGAACAAATACATAATTATGTAGTGTTGGTGTCTTTCTGCTCTGGGTTCAAAGCCAAAAAACAACCTAAAAACATCTCATTTCCATTCAAGTCTGAATTTTTTTTTAATATGGAGAGATCCATCCAATTCACCAAGTACATGAAGGGCTTCAAAGAAAATTGTTAAGCGTGTTTGTTTACCATTTTATGTGCTTGAACCACATAGAAAATGTACCAATGCATGGAAATTGAATGTGAAAAAGTTCATATAACGCACACAGAGCTGCTCGGTCTGGAGGCAGTTTATTGGTCTGCGTTCAGGCGCCGTATTTCCTGAAGTCAGTTCAATAGGACATGACTCCGCCTATTTCATTACATCATCAGGATGGGGGTCCCTCACATTGCTTGAGTCATGTCCTCAGACAATATTTTCTGACCTAATGAAGATTAACGGTTCAGTTATGTGTTGAATCTGTGTTCAGGCACGCATCTACATAAAATCATCAAGTCAAACAAAATACTCGCATTTAACAGATATTACTGTTCTCCTAATAATAAGAATATACCATGTGTAGTGTAATTAAAATCAGTATATAAGCAAACCAATAAATTTCTCAGGCTCCATTTGATTGGTGAAAATGTTATAGTGTGACAGGGCCTTTAGCTATGCACAACATGTGTTACAGTGGGAGTGCTGTGGGAAGACAGAGGGAGGAATTACTCTATTTATGTGCGTATGATGCAAAACATGTAACAATCATCCACAAAAGTGAGGGGGTCGTATTAGACACACGAATTGTTTGTATTTTAACTCGTGTCTGTTTGTCAAGTTGTTTTTGTCTTTGTCAGGATTAAAACGATTTCTACAAACTATAATCATTCAAGATTATATTTTCCTGTTCATTACCTTTACACAGATCTGAACCATCACTTTGTTTGAATGTTGTACTGATACTTAATTGCAAGAATTCAGGCAGTTTTCTTGTCACCTGATGAATAAAAGAAGCTGGTGAGTTTAAGCTCAAGCAGTTTGAAAATTTGTCAGCAGTTTTAGTTTTGTCTCCTCGCTCTTGAAATGTTTGTGACTTGAATTTTATGATGCCCTGAAAAGTTCAAAAGTGCTTTGTAAATGTAAAACAATTAACATGCAGTGTTTTATAACATCACATTCTGATGAGTTCCATTCTAATATGATGATTACAGATATTTATACTTCCTTGCAGTAATGTGTTCACCTTCAGTGGCATTAACACTTGTTGTGATTGATGACCTCTTTGTTTTATTTATCCAAACGTCCCCACCAGCAGCTGATAGTGATTCAGCACATTGTAAAACCTACTTTCTTCTTGCTTGCATTCCCCTAATATTTGTTTCATATAAGTTTGAACTAAATGCTAAAATAAACCCAAACCCATTGTTTGGATGCTCACCCCAGACTGGAAATGTCCATCCACTGGATGAGCTCCTCCTCATCGGAGAAAAAAAATGGCTCCATGTTGCCATTGTAAGGGTCTCTGGGAGGAGGGAGAGGTGGGGGAGGGGTGAGCTCCGGAGGATCATCTTCCTCATTTGAGAGCTCTTTCCATGACTCCTTAAGAAAAAGTTTGTTTTTTTTATTAAAGAGCACTATTTACTTTTATATCTTTTAGCATGAAATGCCTAAAAAGTCTCTTAATCTGAGAAACGATGCACCAGATGTAACCTGAGAAGAGAGGAGGAACTTGCCTGCAGGGATGTGTCTCCTTTGATGTACTTGGCACCTTCAATGACAGCAAGGTAAGAGAAGCGAAGCTGATCTGCAGTTTGGATCAAACCCATACGATAGTTTCGCATCTCCAGTAGAACGTCACGAATACGAACCGAAGACGGGTCTTTACGAATAGACATCTAAATGTAACAAAAAAAAATAAAAAAAAAACCATTTAAACTCTAAATTATACAGATTTTACTTCTTGTTCCTCCACTGAAAGCGTGGGCTGATTACGTGCACACGATCATCAGAACAAGTGGATTATTTCTGTACGAACCAGTAGGAGGCAGGTGTCCACAAGACAGAAGGTCCCCGAGCGTCCGATCCCAGCGCTGCAGTGCACCACCACTGGTCCATGTTCTGAATTCAAGCAGCCCGACTCTCGCACTTTGAACAAGAAGTTGAGGAAGGAGGCGGGAGACTCTGGGACTCCAAAGTCAGGCCAGGTGGTGTAGTGAAAATGTAAAATCTCACGTGTCTCCTGAGTCTGCAGGAACGGTTCAAAGTGAAAACAGAAGGACATGCAAGAGCAGAAGGTGTTAAAAATAAAGGTCTGCAACTGCAAAACAATGAAGAAAAATGTAAAGGCACATAGTAGATTATGTTAAAAAATACATACAAAAGATACTTTGAACACAAATGATGGAAAACAACAGAAAAGAGACAATATCAGCAAACCTGAAACTGAGACGACACGATTGTTGAAGTTAAGAAATGAAAATGTGTTTCAGTTCTGCTATCACTATCGGGAAAAAATGTTTTACGTAGGAAAGTAAGAAACTAGAGGCGATTCGTTGTGTAGTTTAACAGCAAAGGCACAAAAACAAGAGCAATAAACATCTGAAGGGATATAAATACATTTTTCTTTAACCATGTTAAAACTTCACACTTTTATTCTTTAAGGGTTTAAGAGTTGAGATGACAAGAAGTTTTCTGCATATGAAATGTAGAGAAATTCTTACTGCAGCCTCCAGTAAGAAAGAATAAGAATAATACTTCCCACCAGCACAATCATTGGGGCGGACATTAATTCCACATATCAAAGTCCATTTTGAAAATAATGAACATTACTTATTGAAGGCCCTGTCACACTAGACAACTTATGAAACTTTTTTATGTCTAAATTGCTAATTAATTATATATTTGATCAATTTCTTTGAATTATATTATGTACACGCCAAAAAGAAGCTTCCTGTTGATTTTTTCACTTCCATCTTCAATGTAGATGTCTTTAAAATGTTCATAAGTTGGCATAAGTTATAGTGTAACAGGGCCTTCAGTCAGTCATTTGTCATCTTTTACCCCCCCCCAACAGATTGTGTCTCCTAAAGAGTCCAGTCTAATATTTAATCAGAGACATCTGCTCCCACCTGAACATTTTTTTTATTTTAATTGTGGGTAAAATTCAGATTTGGATTGGATTTCTAGTTTAATTTTTAGTGATAATTCTGCAATAATGATCCAGATTAAGGAAATTAAATACTAATTCTAAAGTACAAAAAAAAGGCAAAACAAAACAGAGAACTATGCATCTTTACTCTACATATGTTTATTTATATATTAGGGGTGCAACAATACATGTACCCGTACCGAACCGTATCACACAGTGTTGTATGGAACAATACAGATTTAACAAAATTACTTTATCAACATGTCTCCTGAAGATGCTCTGTGTTGAAGGATCAGTGGATCTGTGTTCAACTACTCCACCTAGGCTGCATTTTTGAGCGCAGATCCACTGACAAACTTGCTGTTTCAGCAACATTTAATTTAAAAACTGTACTTTTGTGGTTAAACAAATGTAATTTTAAAATAAATTACAAGTTAAAAGGGGCATGGAAATTTCTCTTTTTTGTATCGAAAAAATATCAAACCGTGAGACTAAAGTATCGAACCGAACCGTGAATTTCCTGTATCGTTGCACCCCTAATATTTTTTTTCTTTTTTCCCCCATCTAATACTGTGTGCAGTCTAAAGTAAATGCCATAGTAATGAAATGTGAGCAGGAAACCATAAACCATATTATTTTTGTTGACAAGTTTACTCTCCCAAAACAATGTTAAATGGTGAAAATCGTGCAGACTATGGCTTAAATACAATCTATAGTAAGTGTTAAGCCCTTCATGTGAAAGGTAATTCCGTCTTATTTTGTTTGGACATTTGAAGTGTTAGAATATTTCCAAGCCGCACAACTATGAGGCATTATGCTTTCTCCTCTCTGCCACCTCCAATATGGCGGCGACATGGTTATGCCGTTTAACTTCCAATAGGGCGTCTATGGATGTCTATGGCACAGTAGCAATCAGTCCCCACAGATTAGGTTAAAAACAGTCCTTCCTTCTTGGCAAAAAGTCCAGTTTTTTATTTATTTTATGTCCTCAGTTTTCAGTGTTCTGTTCAGGCTTGTTCTGTCTGCTCCAAATACATTTTTAACCAGAATATCTCCTCTGATGGACAAAACCTGTTGGAACGCTATTCCTGTATTTGGTTATTGGTGGGTCTCCTCTTTGTATCAGCACACGCGCTAATACCAACAGAAAGTATCCATAGGGCGTAATTATTAATGCCCCAATGAGACTCTATTTGGAGGAGCTGATAGTATTTATTAGTGCAGACAGGGGGAGTATATTAACATGATAAATCCACTGAAACACAGGGCATCGGATTGTACCACCCTATGACTGTAAACACGTACAAAACTGAGAAGGAATCGCTAAAACCCATTTTAAATTCCATTTAAAATTGTCAAAAGCGTTACAMAAAAAMAATACATGGMGAGCTAAGTAAATGACCAGTTTGCGTCATTTATTAGGAGGAACTACTTTGTTGGGTGAWTGAATTTTGTTTAGGTGGGACGCCCTTATGGACCGGCCGCACCTGCTTCCCACCACCGTACATCAAATTCTTTAGAAAGTTGTAAGAGTTTAGTAAGAGTTTAGCTCGCAAGGAAAGCGCTGAAGAACAAACGAGAAGATACGACTCAGGCCGTAACATAATACGACACTTAAGGCGTATAAAACACTAAAGTACAAACTTTGCTGCCAACTGTGAAATAAATCAGTTCACACCGCAGCAGCAACCATTTAAAGCGACCAAGTTCGAAAAGAAAAACAGGAGGCCTGACAGGATTTGGGATCAGTTACTGACATTAAAAATTGTGGAGAATAAATTGCATGATTTCATGTTGATGTGTGTAATTATTTTAAAATGTTGCAATAAGAACGTTTGTCTAATAAATTGTTAAATTCCATATTATTAGTTTTTCATTCCTTCATTTCACTTGTCTGATAAAAAACAGTGTAGGCACAGTTTACAATATGTATAAAGTATATTTATTCTGTCTAATAACTAGCTTGTTTTATGTTAGAGAAGCTATTTGCGTAGTTTCTGTGTGGGACTTTTATTCTAACATTTAACTTTAGGRTCCACAGACACTCAGCGTGCAACAATGAATAGTTGTTCAAATRTAAAACAGGACGACTTACAGACAGATTTTCCAGCTCCAGTTGTCGGACTGTGTAGTAAGATTTGATGTCCTCTGAGACAAGATTAACCTTGAAGTTTGTGTCTTCAAACACTGCTTCTTTTTCCTCTCTCTGTGGCCAATACTGAGCACATTTAATCTAGAAACAAAACACGATTTGTGTTACACAGAGTAATATTAAAAAAAGGAAAGGCAGTGAGATTTCTGGGTAAGAGACATGATATTGACAGATGAATCAAATGCTTACGGATCCTTTCTCTATGACTCGGTTCAGCATCACCACACCGCGGGTCCTCTGCTCCCACACCATCTCCCAAAAATGGCCACATGTGTTTGGAAGGGGGCCCTAAAAATAAATGACAACAGGTTCTTTAAAAACACTTGGTTTTATTCTTCATATAACACATCACATTAGTAATGTTTCATAATTGTACCTATTTTAGTTAGCTTAAAGAGAAGTGCATTGTCAATTGCAATCTCRCTCTAACCATGAAGGCATTTCAGTCATTTTGAAATGGGGTTCTGTGAGAAGTTATGAAGAATTAATATCTTACCTGCTGTACCTCAGTTTGGTGAAAGAGTTTAACTTSAACAGGATGGTTAGTTTGAACACACTCAAAGACCAGTCGACTCAAATCTCAAAAATTTCAAAACGGTTCTTGCGAACTCTGTTGCATAAACTTTTACACTTCCATCAGTTTCTCACTACGATTATTTCAGTGGAAATATTGCAATATTACTGTCAGAAGGACTCTACGCTGCTTCAGAATAATAATGTGTAATAAAAATGTGCTGTCATCACGAGATACACCCAGGTGGAGCAGTGGGCAGCTACATGAGTTTTCAGGGAGCAGTTGGGGATTGGGTATTTTGATCAAGACCACAACATGTGGGCTTGGTGAGGAATCAAACTTGTAACTTTCTGGTCCCAAGTCAGCTGCCGTATCACTGAACCACAGCTGCCCAGAATATAATAAATATAAATAACTAATATATAATATAAATATAATAAATAACTACAAGATTCTATGTGAATAAGTGTACATTGAGAAATTTGCATCAATGCAAAGATTATTTAAAAAAGGCATGAAGTGATATTTCACTTTTTAAAAGTGAAAGATGACAGCACCACTCTGCTGCTGGCTACATTTGGATAGCCGTTAGCTCATCAGTCCTGCTGGAGTTAAAATGTGTGGCCGTGTCTCAATTCAAGGGCTGCRGCTGACAGTGGCTGCAGTCGACGTGGGCCGTAGGCTGCTCGTGTCGGCTGCATAAACAGCTGTGAAATGAGTCGGACTAGTCTACAGGAAACATATACTTTTTATAATATCATATCGCTTCAGTTGTTTTTTCAAAGTATAACTTCACACAATTCAGTTTTTATAAAAAAAAAGTTACAAGTTAAAAAAAAAAAACAGCATTCATAATTTGGGTTTAGCTCCAGTATCGGTACTTGTAACTGCATTTTATTTAACATCTCATTGCAACTAAAGTTTCTTCAGCCAAGTTACATTTTTGGCCCGTGATAAATTTCCAAACTCCGTCATTAAAAAAAAAAAAACCTCAGCCATACAATAAAAAAAAAAAAATCCTTCGCAGTCTTTTGTTTTTCTGTTTAATTTCCTGACGGCACAATGAATTCTGGGATACCGTCAGCCGCAGCTGCCGTTTTCGGGGTTTTGTCAACTACATTTGTTGGCCGCATGTGTAGGCACCTAGAAATTGGGACAGCCTACAGTGCAGGGGAGTGACGTAAGCAGAGGACAAATGCGGCCGACGTCAGCTGCAACCCATGAATTGGGAGACAGCCGGTTTCTTCAAACTGAGGTCACAATCAACATTCATCTCTTTAATAAAATAATAAATGAATGAAGTGAACAATTACATACTTTTAGTTGAGAAAACAAAAAAAAGGAAGAAGAACTGAGATACACAGAGTGTTAATTATTCAAATGGACTCATTTTGGTGATTTTTATACACAAACAATTAATTGATATTTTCAGAACCCCGCCCCCAGGTTGGGGGAACCCCTGGTTTATGGGATGAACAAACCAAAACATAAGCTGTGTTTCCATCCAATGTTTATGTGCATTTTGAGCRAACTTGTAAAATGTTGCATAAAAAAAGATATGCGAATCAGACGTGTTTCTATCACCTGACTTGGAGTGAATCAACCAGACTATGCAAAGTAATGACATCAGACGTTAATGTTGTGCATGGCTGTAGTAAACAGGAAGTAGACGTTGCAAACTCACAGGGATACATATCTCAGGACTATGTAGAGAGGTTATCAGGAACATGTTGCTTCTATCAGGAAAGTTGTACTAATTCTGTCATATCAACTAGTTTTGGTGATGTTACATGCTGTCTGGAGACATAGAAAGAGAAATGTAATCCTCTTCGTGTTACAGGAATAACTGAGAAGATGCCAACAGCGGGAGGAGGGTCCTGCTGCAGTCGCTACAATCACTGGACAGCAGGAACAGCTGATCGAGGTAAATGTTCGCTACGTCAGAACTTATTCAGCAAATGTGTCTCCATCTACTCTTTTACACGTTAACTCTTTTTTGTGAAAATTCAAAAACCATCTCCAGCGAGCGTAAAAACTTTTGGAAAATCAAGGTTATTTTTTATTTTGTTTCCATCCACCCTTTTTAATGCGATACTTTAAAATGCGCATAAAAACGATGTAAACACGTCTATAGAGCCCTGACAACTAGATTCATCCAACATTTGGACTGAAAGCTTTCTTACCTAACCACGTTCTGTCGAACCTGGAACTTGTCATCAGAACATCCTGTGTGTTTGAAACCCCTCCATTTCCTCAGCTTTAACTCATCTGTGTGATCCTGCTTTGGATATTCGTCTTGATAACAGCAACAACTTCTGCTCGTTTCCACTCACTAGCCAACACAAGGCTATTTACTCTGTGCCGTGTACATTTTGTTTCCTGTGTTTAAGGCTCCAGCCAATACCTTCACTTCAGAACACATTTGTTGACARTTACAACTCCTGCTTGTAAATATTACAGATGCTGAACATATTTTTAACCACATTATTATAGCATAATCCCGAACACTGTTCCAAAACAGCCATTTTAGATTGAGATTTTACTGGATTAAGTCAACTGGATGTTTCTGTATTACAGTGACACAAAAAACGTAGATTTAAAAAAAAAAATCAACCAGCTTACCTGAGTAAGAATATAGTTTCTCTGTGCCTCTTCAACAGTTATTAGGCTGGCATTAATGTAGTCATTTGTACCCAGCTGCAGGCGTATTCTGCTGTGGTCAACTGAGAGAGAGAAATAAAGAAGAAGAGGGTTTTCATATTTTCTTACATGATGACAAACGAGTGACTTTGATCAAACTAAAAGCTCGTCACTCCCTCAGCACTGAGACGTACACGTTGGTGTCGGCTGAAGGTCTTTGAAAACAAATGTAAACAGCCCACRAAGTTTCAGGTTCCTCATTTTCACATCTTCTTTAATGTTAAAAAGAAAAACTGTAACTGTTTCTAACTGTGTCTACACAATTTGCATTGCTTATTCAGCGTGAAAATTAAAAAAAAAAAAAATCGCACTGAAGCTGAGCTGTGAAGTTTCTGACTTCATTAAAAAATGAAATGTAAAATCTTTAGATTTATTTACATGAACAGAGAACAGAGGAGCGTTTCTGCAAATATAAATGAGGGGTCAGAATGTAGCTGCATCCATTGTAAATGTGCACAAAACTTTGTCGATATTCTGTTAATGTTTGAAAAAAAGAGTTTCACAATTGCAGTGATTAAGTAAGAAATGCTATTAAAGTCACGTGTGAATACGTTTGTTCTCGCGATAAGTCATTACAAACATGGCGGCAATGGATTTTAACACATAGCATAACTGCTACCACGACACTAGCGCTCATCAGAGGAGACGTCGGCGTCTTATCGAGGCTTTCGAGCGACAAGCCCCTAATACCTGGGAGCAGATACGTATGCTGTGTTTTTGGGAAATTGTAGTCGTGAGTTTACTACTTTCTTTTACTACTTCTGTGATTTTACTACTACTTCTACTTTCTATTGTCTTTTTCGCCAGTAGAAACAGTCAGTTGTTGATCACGTGACTCCAGTGATGCGAAGTGTTTCCATTGCAGTTTTGCGAAACACCAATTTCGATACGGCCGAGAAACCGTCTCATCCTAGCGCAAAAACATTTTGTTGAAAAAATAAAGTTTTTTCGAAATTGGCATGTTTCCATTGAGCAAATTTATTTTCAAAAYTCTAATTTGCGCATTTTCATGGTCAAAGGAAACACAGCTACTGTTACGTAATCCGACTGGCCGATGATGTTGCTTGTTTGAGTTTATTTTTGTAAGTTTAGAGACCTATCAGACTGTGATCCCAACATGTTTCAGATGTGAGTTTTTTTTGGACAAGTGAAGAAGTAACTCACAGGGGCTGACGTCCCTGTAACGGTTCCGATTCTTGTTTTCAAGTAATTTTGCCACATTGCAGGATGATTCCCTCGACTTCCGGCGAATCTCCTGCGACAAAAAGGAAAAGAAATAACTCATTATAACACAGCATGTTTGAAGTTTATTTCTGTGTGAAGGCTGMATTTCTGAAAAAAACTGAATCTTAGCACGTGTGGGAAAAACTTGAGAAGGGGAGCACTTCCTTCCTTAATTTCATTCTGCAGAAAAAGTCAAAAGCATCTGTCCACTGATATACAAACACTGGCCTGCTTGTGTGTTTGTGTGTAGCGTGAACATTAAAACACACAAGTTGYGAAAATAAGGGGAAAACACAGATTAACATTAAGAAATAACTAATGTTTTAATTCTGAGATGAGTAAAAGAATTAAGAAGGCACTTATGCTCATATCAGACAAAATGTTGACACACACTCTGGTGGGACAGATGCACGAACCATCTGAAAAGGTCCGACCCGCATGAACCGAACCGAACCGAACCGAACCGATCATCTCTGTCAACACGAGCTGTCCTAAACAGTGACAGCTTCACCTACGGCTCATGTTCCACCTTGATGAGCCCAGACTTCCTACCTGATAAACGGAGTTCCAGCTCCCCTTTTCGTCGATTTCCCAAAACTCGGCTTCCATTGCTCACAGTCCAGCTGCCGCTCTGTTCCTCTCCCCCACCCCGGTACGAAACACCGCAGCTTCCCGGTRATGAAACAACTTGTTTGTAAGTTTTAAGAGTTTTCTGCTGTAGCTGCCGACAGTCCGGTTGCTGGTAACTCTCAGTGCGGCAGCATAGATCACYGTCTCGGCCTGCTCTTTAGCGGAAACACGTCGTTAGCTCCTCCTACACGCTGTAGCTGTTGTCCTTGGGTGGCTAAAAAAAAAAAAGCACAACGTGGTTTTTCAGAGCTAAAACGGTGCTGAGAGTTATCTGGATATGGTTCACAACACCGTTCAGGACCGGAATGTTACTCTGTTAGTAGAGAAAAGGCATCTCACCATTCCTAAATCAGCAGCAGAAACCAACAGGCKAGGGCGCGCGGGAGGCATCTTGTTTCTGGAAAGAAACGCGTCTAGCTTTACGGAGCGCGCACGTACGTACTGACGTATGCTCACGCAGGGGTCTGTTTACGTCCAATCTGAGCAATCAGTGCAGCTGCCCCGGTATGGCAGTTCGTTGTAACATATAAAAAAAAGCACAATTTTAGCGATCAGTCACACTATTTCTATAAGTCAAAATGTCTGAGTTTTACTTGTAGTGATTTAATATAACTAAAGTAGCATTTATATGATTAAAAATATAGTTAACGATTTTAGAACACCCTCTTTTTTCCTGTTTTAAATTTGAAATTCAAGCAGCTCAAGTCTAATGACACTGCAGATTTCAAATTTGTAGTCATCAGTCAACACAAACGCCTTTCCATCACTGGTCCACTTGTGGTGTTTCGTGGTCTAGACAAGCCTCTTTTTTCTTATTCAGAGGTCTTAGAGATGGTTTTCTTGCTGCGACTCAACCTGTCAACCTGCAGCTCCATGTCTCCTCTGAACAGTTAAAACAGACTTGTCTTTGACCACTCTGAAGCTGTGCTTGAAGCTGAAGGCCCGTGAGCCTCCTTGTTCAGTGCCTCCCATCCTGCGCAGACAGAGCATAACATCAGGTGAAGCAAAAATATTTTATAATCACTTACGGACTGATCAGGACTTTGTTAGATTAGTTTGTAATTTGATCCAAATGACTATATTAGGTGTGGTTACTTTTACTTTAAACATAGATAACTAACTTTATCTGTGGAGTGATGAAACACCCCTTTATATGCAAGTGAGCACAGAGATCAAATCAGGGTATCTAAATTAACAAAGTAACAATCAAAACTGTTGTACCAGTTTTAGGCTTCATCAAACCATGCGGAGGAAATAAAGCTGTTGTGAATTGGTGATAAGTGAATAAATCCATGCATTTATTTTCTTTACTTTACTGTTTTCAAGCTTTAAATGCTTAAAATGTTTTGTGAGAAAATCACAGAACTGCAGTGTGAACGTAGCCTTGTTTCTGGACTGCAAACCTGTGATGARTGACAACATTTAGTGAATCTGGTGAGAAATAATTGAGTAAAGATTTACACAACAATAATGACAGCCATGATTTTTCCAAGCTTCAGGGTTGTTTGCCAGTTATGAACCTCAACAATGTGCTGCACTATCATAAAGACAACCCCAGCTGGCAGGAACCGAAAGCAGAAACAATCCAGTGTTTGTATTTCAAAAAATTACAAACACAATTTGATATAAATAAACCCTGATGAAAACCGAAACACACTTTTCAACCGCAGTCACAAGAGTTGCTAAACCATAAAAATCTCAAGTTGACATCAAATTTGGTGACCTCATTGATAGTGACGGCAATGTCCAACAACATTTTGGCTTGTTCCCCTATCTTTTAGGTATCACCTCTAAAGTAATAGGTTTCTTCATGAAAAAGCAGCTATCACAYTATCAACCCTGCAACACACACATTTGTATTTCTATTCTTGTTGGAGCCGTGTATTGACTTCCRTTCATTTCTGTAGCTTGACCCTYACCCCAAACCAGCAGGAACTGAATGTGAATCGCTCAGATTGAATCTGAAKGTGCATAATTTGAAATTGAATGCATTGGTTTGAAAATAAATTTTACTAAATTTGAAACTGAATTTAAAGTTTTGAATTTGAATTAATTTGCTTTGAAACTGTATTTTGGTTCATTAAAAATTCAGTGTGACTACTTTCACTTTCAGCTCCATAATTCAGATTTTTGTGTCACACATCCTGGTCCTTGAGAAAGCCAGAGTAATCAAACACAGATC